TCTAAAATAGATATCTAAACATACATAATTTCTTAGGTCATCAAAAACAACCAAAAATATTCAGCATTAGCTAAGACATGCCATACACAGATTAGCAAAAATACAGCTGAAAAGACTATTGACATACTGCCTGACTCTCTAAACAAGGAAGCTGGTAGAATCAGGGGCCTCCTGTCTTCACTGAGAGTGAAGACTATTTGAAAGCTCCAGAGCACTTCCTAGGGAATCACGGCCACAAATTTCCAGGGAGAGAGGGAAGACCATCAGGGCATGTAACCATTCTCTTCCTGCCACAGAACCTCAAAGAGAAACACAGGAAACCTAAAAAGTAAAGATGAGGCCAAACCACCTTTAGATCTACCCAGCCTCTATACTAGCCCCAGGCAAATCAAACTGGCAGATTCATGGGAAGGGAACGGTGGGTCCCTCTAGCTGCTCAAGAAAATGAAAGCCCAGAGTTTCCATATTCACTCTCAATGCTCTGAAGAGTTCAGGAATCTTGTGAGGTTCCCACTCTGTCTTTCCCTGTCATGCTGGAAGGCTAAGAAGCAAAAAAAAAAATCAGTACTTAGAAGGAAAAAAAGCAAATACTCTGCTTCAAAGTTCCTGTCCTGTGAAAGCAGAAAAATGCTGGAATCGGACCAAGCCAGCCATGGTACCTGAGCATGTAGGGGCAAAGAGTTCAGATGTGGTCTATCACTGACCCTGTTTATAAAGTGCATTCTATTTAATGCAAAAAACCACCCCCATCCCTTGCTAAAATGTAACTTTAGAAAGTCCTCCCTTGTTTCAAAAACCTGCCAATGATTGTTTAACAGATTTTAAAAAAATATTCACGCCTTACTTTTCTTCTCAACTCATTCCTTACCAGAATCTCAGGTCTCTGCAAGAATTCAGTATTTGCTAAAATCATAAATACTGCTTCAGAAGTTTTTCCAATGATTGTCCAACCTGCCTCTCAGTCCCATGGAAACTCTTTGCAAAGATGTTGCTTTTGTCTTGTCTGGAACAAGTTCCTTCACAGACGGACCATCCAATGTCTAAGAATAACTCTTTTAACTATCAATAGAGACAAAGAGATTCCGTTGCACTGTTCCCCTGGGATTCCTTTGAGTTTGGACACATCTGTTAAGATGCATACATCAGAGCCTGAATGAAGTTTTTGTCTGATTGTATCTTTGAGAATTCGTGAAAGTTTCTGCCAAAATGATCTTATCTCTTGGCATGCTTGCAAAACTTATACAGTTATAGATTCTGACAGACTCCTGAAATAAGTTGCCTATGCAGACCAAACCAGTTTAAATACAGCCAGGTCCTGATGACCTTCTTCCTCTCACAAAAATCTTCAGAAACTTTACCTGAGGCTGTTCAGCCTTTGAACTACAATCTTATTATGCACTTTATGCATTCTCTATCCATAAGCAAGGAAATATGTGAAAAAAATGTGAATAGAACAAATCTCATTGCTTTCATTTGCTTTTATATAACCTTTCCACAATTTGTGCTTGTCCTTGCATGAGCACCTTTCTTCTGGGTAAGCAGATAGATCTGTTTGTGACAGCTGAGTAGCTAGATGTATAACTCAGCTGGAGTTCTATCAGCTGACTCTATCACTTAATTCCAAATTAATTCAAAGTGGTGTTTTTCATCTGCTAAGCCCTCCATTAAAATAGTTACCTCAGGAAGCACTTCTTCCTCTGACTTGTTTCTCCAACTGTATTGCATTTCCCAAGACTAAAAGAGATGGGACTGGACACCGTGCATCCTGTGTTCTGGATTTAGCTTGAAGGATTCATCTGTGCTGGAAACAGTGTTCAAACCCAAAAATCTAGGACCTAGTCCTACAAATCTGAGGAATAATGCAATTTCATTAGGAATAAGTGGCACCAGAAGCAGCATGTAGAATACACTATGCTACAGAATGAAACTCTAAATTACGTTGTGCATCACATATGACTTTACCCAGGTTTTTTTTCTTTTTTTTTTTTTTTTGCTAAGTCCCAATATCAGTAAGACTGGCATTCAGACATTGCTTTAGGCTTTCTTCACCTCTGCCTTTTACAGCTGAGGAGCAGATGGCTATCACAAGTTTTTATTTCTTTTGCTTGGAAAAAAAAATTGATCTGAATCATTCCAAAAGCACCCTGATATTTTAAAGTAAATTGGCTTCTGAACATTTCTCATGATAATAAATATGTGGTGTTGTTTTCTGCCAAGCACTAGTGACTGTGCATGCAACATGGTCAGTGAAGATTTCAAACTGATTTGAATAGGTGGTCCATAAAATCCAAGCCTTTTTGTTTTTCCCAGATACATAAATGAGGCCTTATGAAACCATGTGTACATCTGTACATTTTCCCAAGAATTGATATACCCTACCATGCTGACTCTTTCTGGGTGCTTCTGGTATTTTCAGAGAAAATTCCTCCCAAACGTTCAGTCTAACTTTAGAACTAAAGTATTTTTGCATTATTTGCCATCCACTAGAAAACCCCCCAGCAGAATGAAGAATGTCCTTTGAAAATGAAGTATCTGCCCAGCTGTGGCGGTACAGGCAGTAGGATGGTCTGGGCAAGGGAAGAAAAAGCAATGTTGTGTTGTCTAAAGGTAGAGGGAAGGACAGAAAGTCTTGCAGGCCCAAAGAAGAAGAGCATCACCATGGGTCCAAAAGTTGAGAGGAAGAAAGACGGGGCAATGTAGCTCTGGGGGGAGAGGAAGAGAAGGACAACGAAAGAGATTCTAGAGTGAGGGTAAAGAGTCAATGCAAAAGACAGGGCACATCAGAGGTATGGAGAAAGCATTTGTAACTGCAGGGAAACCCATTTTTAATGTTGGGAGCCACAAAAATCAATCTTTTGTGTCCATGAACATTCCAGCACTAAGGATTGAGGCAATATTAAAAAAGAATACCAAAAAACATGGTAGAAAGTGACAGTAAATATACAGTAAATATTCATTGTGCCTCATTTCAGTTCATGTGGGTTCTTTCTGTTTTGCAAGGGCATGCCAAACACTAATTATATGCATACCACCCCTAACAAATACAGCCTGATAAAGGTCATAACCCTTCATACATAATTGTGAGATTTTCTATTGCTTTCAAAGTACACTGAATCAGCTAACAGAGATCAGTACCACAAGAGGTCTTACTATTTCCTGAATTTTTGCAGGACTCCAGATATATTTTGGGAACTAAATTTCAACAATTCACAAGACAGGACAATGTTAATGCTGAAATTGCTATTAAACCCATTTTCTGAAAAAAATCCCCCACACTTACAGTGTGAAAGGAGCATCTAACCTAGGCTGGCAGTTTACTTCTATTTACAGAATAATGCAATTGTTTAGGTTGGAAAAGGCCATCATCTGGAAGGTGACTTGGGGACACAAAAAACTTAGGGGTCTAAAAGACACCGTGCACAGAACAGGTAGAGCATGAAGAGCTGCAGGCTCCACCTTCCCCTGCTGCCCTCTGCCAATATTCCTCACCCTGAACTTGGCCACCTCAGAAAGCAAAAGCAGGAGCTCATTCTCCAAGTTCCCTACAATCCCTGCTGGCCTCTGTCCTAAGATTGCTTTCATGGGTTTCCATTTGTACTGTCAAAAAAATCAGTGTGAGGTTTCAAATCCCATTTACTAATGAACTCTTTCATCTTTGTGAATGGGATAAAGGGATTCTTTGTTTGAAAATAAGGATTATTTTTTTCTTGTTGTTCTGCTCATTTTTTGCATCTTTTCATAAGCCTTTTGTTTTTAGAAAATATTACAAGACAAAACTGCACCCCAGTTTTAACAAAGAGCCTGACATCTCCAATTTGAAAAGAATTCTTGGATATACTAAATTGCATGCTGCCTGCTGTTCAGTTGTTTCACAGCTCTTTCTTCTTCCCAGATCACCAGGTGAGATTTAGGAAAGTCTCCCCAATGTTTACCAGCTCTATTAAAATCAAGATCTCTAGCAGAAGCTCATAATGAATAAAGTCAGAAGCCAACAGGAATGAATTGCAGCTAAAGTGATTTTGATAGCGATGATCCCTATAACCCGACTGCTTCCAAGCTTGGCCCTGAGGCAGGATTTTTAAATTAAAGAGAGGAAAGGATACACATACTTTTTAATCTGATTTTTTATTGTCATGGCCTGAATTTTTTTACTGGCTTTTGCAAAGTCTGGTTGGCTTCCAAGATGTTGAAACCTGGTGTCATCATCTTCTCCTTCTTCCCTCCCTGTTGTAAATTTACATTCTAAATCACTGCAGAAGAGGTAAACTATACATTCTAAAACTAGTGAGTGATGAAATTCACATTACCCTGCACATTCTTGCCCAGGAGACTTCCAGGCAAGGACCTCTGTGAAATGACAATGTTTTGAAGAGCTGGCAAGGTCAGGTGACTTTCCAAAATCCAGTTTTAATAATCCCCTCCCTTATTTTTGCATTTTTTGGCAAAATGTAGAAGAACATTTTCTAAAGGGCAGTTGCTGAGTAATCTGAAAGCGAATGCCCTCAAATCAAGGGCCTTAAAGCTGGTAGAACCACATAGGTCTACAAAGATTTTCCAGACTCTCACAGACTGAGCCTTTCCACAAAATACTCCCCTTTCTTTGTGGAAACTTTACAGTCCTGGGCTGCAGAGCCAGGCACATGTTTTCAGCACAGACCGAAACCCCTCAGTCAGGAGATATGGTTGGGTAATGAGAAGCTTGTGACTACCTGGAGAGGAGCAACAGTCGGACAGGGACATGCTTGAGGGGTCTTCCCTTTTTTAATTTGCAATAAGCAGCAGCCTGACCTAACAACACACTCAGCTTTTTCTGGCTGATGGCATTATCACAACCTTACCACAAAAATGTTGTGCTTTAGATGTAATTCCCAAAGAAGGGAGAAGGTAAGCCCTCAGGAGGTCCTTTTTATGACATTATGGGAAGAGCATCCAACTGGAAAACCTGGTGCACAGTAAGGGAGGTGTTTTTAAGAACCCCAGCAGCATGTTGGTGTACTCACAATCAGATGACCCTGTGTGTGCGTGCAGGTTTGTTGGTGAATGTGGAGAGTGGATGAGGGCCGGGCTCAGAGAAGGAACAGCTTCAAGGTTCAGGCAGGGAAGGCCCGGCTTGGCGCTGCATGCACCCGTCTGAGTAATCTCATTCTCCTCAGACGCCTTCTGGTTTTCAGCTGTCTTGGGTTTCTTCCTGAAAATAAACAAAGAGACCTTTGAAGGGACTGACTGCATATTTGGGAAAAGGCATTTTTAGAATCTGTTAAAGATAACTTTCTTCCCCCACCACCACCCCCCTCTCGCCTCTCTTTTCCCTTACAGGGAAGGACACAGAGAAGACTTTCCTCCATACTTCTTGTTTGGAAACAAGCTGCTCCTTGTTTTGACTCTGATGCAATGGCCCTGAGACCATGTTACAGCAAACAGGCCAAGCACGAAGCTCCTTATTCTGCCCCTACTGATAACATATAAAATGAAACTCGTCCCAGTAGTTTAGGCAGCGTTATAAATAAGAAGCTTGACTAGGCCAATATTCAAGCAACAATCAATTTAGTCAGCGCGCCGCTTGACAAATATTAACCAAGGCTGTAGCATTCTGAATAGAGAGTTATACACAAATATAATATAATTGTCTGAAAAGCAAACAAATATGCAAATTTCAAGTTCAAAACTAATCAGTGCAGAAACTTGCATTGTGGGGAGGCAATTTCGAGGTGCAGAGGTCATCTAAGTAAAGCATTAAGACTTGGAACCTGAAACAACTTTCTACGAGCACTGAGCACAAGAGCTCTCAACACCTCCCTCCATCCAGAGCCTCCAAAGAACTAAGCCTCAGTGGTACATCAAGCAGGTAGTCAGTCACCACCTTAGCTTCACGGCTGGAGAAGGCGAGGCACCAGGCGAAGCGGCAGGTTTTGAATCACACAGCGAGCACGCCGGGCAGGGCAGCGAGCACGCGTCTCACCGTTCCCCCTCCGCTACAGAGGTGCGGGTGCTCCCTCGGCGCTCCCCGAGCCGGAGAGCCGCGCCGCCAGCTCGGGATGCAGCCTCCGGAGGAGACAGCGCTGCCGCGGCCCGGGATGCAGCCGGGGCAGCGGGCAAACATCGGCTGCTGCCGCCGCATGCTGGAGGGAGAACCGTGGGCACTCAGGAGAGCAGCAGGAGCCGGGCAGGCTGGAGCCGTGCTGCTGGAACCCGTTATCGCCTGCCGACCCCCGAGCAGTGCCGGGGCACCCCGGGAGCACGTCCCGCCTGCCGGCAGAGCCCTTTCCACAGGCCTCACGGAGAGCCAGGGCGGGAGCCCCTTCTCCCCGCGCGCCTTTGCCCTCCTGCGTCCCACCCGGGACGGGATTTGAGGGCTGCACCGGCCCCTCCATTCTCAGATGCGACCGTCCGGCGCGGAAAGCACCGATCCCGCGGGGGGCGAGGAGGGGCAGAGCGGGCCGGCCGCTTACATAAAGGCCTTATATAAGGGCGGCACGCCCGGCCGGGGGCAGGGCCCGACCCGCCGCCATTGCTTGCGGCAGCCGCCGGGAGGCAGCACCCGCACGGCCCGGCCCGGCCCGGCCCGGGGCGCAGAGCGGGGAAGAAAATTAGAATAAAAATAAAGTTAAACGGGCCAGAAAGAAAGGAAACAAATCTTTCCCCACCCTTCCTCCCGCAAAGCTCCCCCAGGAGGTGGTGGGCGTGGAAGGGATGCCTTGGATCGGCCGAGGGGCAGCAAGAAGCGCCCCGTGGCAGCTGGCCCGGGCTTCGGGGTGCGGCCGGGGAGCTGAGCTGAGCTGAGCTGAGCTCTGCAGGTGAACCACGCCAGCGAGGGGGTCACACTGATAACCCCGCAGCTTCTGGCAGCCCTGGTGCGTTTTGGATTACCGGGACTACAGTCTCCATGCCACGGGATGGGTGGATGGTATTGCTGCTGTAAACTATAGCTTGTACGTGGGCTTGTACATATATTTTAAAGTACATGGGCTGCATATGTTTTGTTTGTGAGAGTCCACGTGGATCTTTGGCATGATCCAAACGAACTCTGGCATGCCTTCACACACCTCATTTCCAGAACCCAGGACATTCCATGACATGTGCAGCCAGCATGCGCTGGGAAATGCAGGAAATCTGTGCATAAACCAGTGGGTTTTTACAGCATTGCTACCCAAGCAGCTTTCAGATAGCACAACTTTTTGGCCAGGGAACAAAGGCTATATGTAGGCTTGGACTCTGGATGCACAGGGCAATGAAGTTCCTTGTACCCAGGAGCTGAACTGCTGTATTTAAGGTCTGTTTTCAGCTCAGAGTTAGGCCAAGTTATATGCTTGGAATATAGCCTCTGACTCCAGGTCTGTCCACACACACAGCTGCCTACCCTGGGCAGGAGACTGCTGTTATTTGCAGAGTAGGGGCTTAGTCTGAGTAAACAAGACTTGTCAGTCGACTAGCACAGCCATAATTTTTTTGTTAAACCAAGCAATGACGGATGTTTCATCCTGTGGCTGATCCTGCCTGTGCCTCCCAGGCCTTCAAAACTCATTAGAGGGACAGGTTAAAAAACACTATAGGAACACCAAGAAGGCTGTGCAAAGCATCCCCTGCTTCTTCCTATCCAAACTCATATATTTTCTACTTTGCTCCTAAGGCTGACACTGTGTTATCAAGATGCTCTTCTGTCATCATTTTTCTGCATTGCAGTCCTGCAGCTTGGTGACTTTTGCTCACTAGGATGGTAAGAATATAACAGTGGTGCTGACTGGCACTGGAGATGACACCTCTCCTCAGGAGTTCATTTCTCTCACTGTTCAGACATGGGCTGTATGTCACTACCACCTGAAAGGGATCCAGCCTTTCACAGGAGGAAAGCAAGGGAATCAGCAAAGTCAGCTAAGGATCTAAAGAAAGCTTTTCAGAAAAGAAAAATTCTGGGGACACTGTGATCAAAACTACCTATGAAGAAACCCAAACAAAGTTCTCCAGTCTGCAATGTCCAGCTAGTGCTGCCAGCAAAGGCAAAGCCACAGCAATTCTGCTGTTATTGTAAGTATATTGCTATTCTTTTGTTCTACCTTATCACCCATACAGAAAGCTCCTATTGCCATGATCATCACCTATATATTCTAATTAAGTATTCTTGCATTCTCTTATATAGTCTACTTCTATTGCTATCTTTTTGCTGTAAGTCTTCACTGGGAGAGTTGTTAAGTACTCAATCAGGTTATGGCATCTCCATCCTTGGAGATTTTCCAAACTTAATTGAACAAGGCCCTGAATAACCTAATCCAGCTTGGAAGTCAGCTCTGCTCTGAGCAGGGAATTGGACTACAGACCTCCAGAGGACCCTTCCAACCTAATTTTTTTTCTGATTGCACACTACTTCTATGAACACTTCCATCAGCAAGCTCTCTAATATATCTCTATGGTCCAGAAGGTAAAAACGACACACTAACTTTGTAAAACTGTGAATTGTTATAGCAATGTCAAAACCCCTGAAAGAACAAGGGTCGGAGCAAGATTGAAACAAGTAATAAATATTGTTTTTGGAACCTTCTCAAATTACTCCTATTAATGTCCCATCTCTGGACTTCATTGATTGGCAATCCTATGTGATTATTTCTGTAGTAAGGGTCAGTCTACCTTGCTGCTTTAGTTCTTATGACTGTGTTCTCTATATACTAATCTTGGAAAAGAGGTGTTTGCTATTTACTTGTTGGTAAGGGCAATATTTGCCATGTTTGGAATGCAAAAGACTTGGGAATGTGCTCTTGGAGCAAGGGGCTCCATTCTGATCTCTGGTTATCTCCTTCTGTACACATACCTGTGGTGCATTACAAGTCCTTTCCAATACTGAACTCATTCTTAACATTATCAGAGGGCCATCATCATCCTTGCTCCTTGTGAAGAAGGGCAGAAGGGCAATACAGAAAAGAGGTGGCACTTTGGTACATGGACTTGCTGCATAGAATCCCATAAGCTAGGAACAGAAAAGATACTGACTTTCAAAATGTAGAGGGTCCCTGCAGAATTTATATTTGCTACTGATTTACAAGAGATTTATACAGTTTATTTCTGAACTTTCTACCTACTCTATCACTTTAAATTTTCTATCCTTTGTCCATGTACTTTCCTTTTGTTGGTATACACTTTTAGCATTCCCTTATATTTATTGTGGGTTTTTTTTTTGTTATGTTAATTTACACCACTTAAAATATATTATCTTCTTTCTTCAGTGTGTGCTCTCCAGTACCTAACAGTAGGCTAACTGCCTCCCCTGTCTTTCCTGAACCGAACTGTGTGTATCAGTACTTGTCAGCTTATATGTAAAGCAAATGTACAATCACTGCCATCATTTTATTTCTGTTTTCTGTAAGCATCCTCATTACACTGAGGCATTTGCTCCTTTCCATGTATCTAAACACTGCACTATCATAGAAGAAGATCTCAAATGGTGGCCAACTCAAAATGATGCAGCGGCTGCAATGATCTGGGCACTGGCTGTAAACCAGAATTGGCTCATTTCTGTTTCATTTGAAGGCAGATTGGGTAATATTTTGGATGTCCTAACCTCAAAGCTATCTAGAAACTAATTACTACCTCTGAGCTTTGGAATGCCTTTAAAACCCCTGCCACACTTCCCCTTTCTTGCTGCCACTCTTGCATACAACTTTCTCTCCCTCAACCCTCCACTTGCTCTCCACAGTTGATTTCATTGCATGTACCTCCCTTGCAACCATTACTTGAGTTTGGAATGAATTTCCCCTGGATGAGTTAACACATTCTCACAGTGGGGCCAGCAAACCAGGTCCCTGTCAAAAATAGACAGTGTATGTTGTACTTCTCACACAGCAGCTATAACTAATGCTTGAACCTTCCCTCTCTCTGTCCTGCAGAGACATCAGGTTAGCACTGAACAAATTAGCTCAGGTATAGGAGCCAATGTGGCTGTGCAGAGCCCACAGCAGCATCCTGGCTCTCAGGGGAAGCTATGATAATGTGACTGCATGAGAATAATACTACATAATGAACAATAATGAGGCAGTTTTCAGCCTCTGAATACAGGGAGGGCTGGGTCACCAACCAGACCTTTGTTCGTCGCATATTAAGCAGCACAGAGGGAACATGCCACAGGGTTGCTGATGTTGTTGTAAGTGCTGCTGCTGGCTTAGTCTGCCCACCCATGTTCCAGGCATTATTTCACCTCTTCACAGCTATGGCATCACCTTATACTAAGTGCCCTCAGGTCAGAGGTGCCTGTAGTGTCCAAGCACTGCACTTAACTCACTGGTGCACAGTTAGTTTGTAACCTTAGTAATTCACAGGGGCTGTACAGAACTGGAAAAAAAAAAAAAACCCAACAAAAACCAAAACCTCCAGCTTTTCAAATCCTAAAAATAAGAGTGTGAAAATAGTTCACGTCTGATTTTAAGCAATATTTTCCCTGAGTGTTCTGCTGCACATTCTTCCTCTGCCTGTGTGCGACTAACACAGCTCCTGATATCAGTGCTTATCACTGCCAGTGTTGTGTCTCTTCCAGACATGACATTGACAATACATATTTAGAAACTGACAAAGTAAAGAGAGAGAGATGAGTACAATCACTGAATATAAAAAAAATAGGCCTGAAAGAACAACAAAAACCCACTAAAATCTGCTCAGAGACCTCACCCCAAAATTCAGGGCACACTGAGTGCCAGAGCTGAGGGTGAAGTTTCCCAAGACAGGCTCCATTTAAATCACCTGAGCCATCACAGTTTTCCTGCCAGCAGTGTTGCTTCAGTAGTTAAAAGTCCTGCACAGGCTGACTGCCTGAATATTCACACAGCTTCTCTGATGATTTTGCAGCCACATTGATCTTCATGCTGTTGCAGCTACATGACTGGCAGTTTGTTTAAAATCTCTGACTGCAAGTTTGTGTCATACAATGGAAAACACAAACTCCTGAAAACATCGCCATAAAATGTAATATGAAAGAGAAATCCCAGCAGAACACTGCAAAGCAAGAATGGGAGGCATGCAGAACTGACAAGAGAGACCCAATGTTCTAGTGCAATAAAAGCCTGGAAAATTTAATCAACACAGAAAAGTAAAATAAACTCGAAAATCCCTTACAGGAGACTGATTAACATAATTAAATTAAACTCAGAGATTAAGTTAAAGTAAGATTGAAATTTGCTGGGTCCTTTTCAGGCCTGAGGTAGGGTTTATATGGCCCAAAATTTGTCCATTTATTCCGTCTAAACCACAAGTCTCTTGAGAGTTGGGTCCTGACTACAGATCTTGCCTGACTTGTAACATCAGAGCATCTCAGCTATGCTAACACTGTGACAATACTGACAATTACTGAGAATTGATCAAAAGAGTTCAAAACTATTGTATTTATGGGGGATAAAGTACAAAGATAAGGCAAGTGGTCATTTCAGAACATAATAAAACCACAATGCAAAGTCAGGATTCTCTCAGGCAACTTTAACTACGTAATCCAGCCAAATCTACCAAATTGTAATGGCCTTAAGTCATAAATGTCTCAAGATCCAGAAAGAACAGTGTAAACCTTTAAGAAGTTGCAGTAGATTCCATCTGTATTGCCTGAAACACCAATGAGAGGAAAGGTGTCTCATTAAAAAGTAATAAGAATAAAAAAGAAGATAAACACTGCAAAGACAAACATGGATGAACCAACTAGAACAGCACAAACTAGAGCAATAAGTAGGGAGAACCTGCCAAAGTAAAAAATATGAGCAGATCAAACCAGGCATTGCTGAACTATGCTGTGAGGCTATGACTTAAATATTTAACAGTTTTTTACTGACATACTTTTTGCCCACATATTTCCTTGCAAATTTCAAAAGCAAAACTAAGTTTACCCTCATCAGTAAGGCTCACAGGTGCTGCAGTTTGTTTTTGTTTTTGTAAGATGTCTTTTTTTTTGCTGAACAAGAAGTCTTTTATAAGAGATAAAATATACTTACAGTGGTTTCCAAATGGTATCACTCTTCAGGTAAATTACTCCAAGCCTTGGACCTAGTGCAGACGTTCATTGGGGCAGGGAACAGAGAGAGGCTGTGTCTGTACCAGGAAGAATCAAAAGGAAAGGTCAGGGGGAAATAATAATTATTTACTGAGAGCAAGAAAACTTGCTACAACTCTAACTGGCATTCTGTGTTGTGAGTACAGCTGGCTGCAGCCTGGTAGTGCTGAATTCCCGCTTCAATCCCTCCAGCCCTGGCTGCAAATGACCACAGAGTCAGTCCCCAGTTGTCCCAGTCTGCCCATGCAACCTAACCCAGTGAAGCAAGGAGGAGAGGGATGAAAGGGCTATCAGCAGGATTCCTTCTGAGAAGTTGCTCACGCCAGTGGCATGAGCACGGAGCACTGATGGAGAGCGAGCACAAACTTGGCACTCAAGTGCATCTCATCAACAATAAGGGCAGTCCTGTTTTGAGCAGCAACAAAAACTTCCTCAGGACTGAAAGACAGGAAAAGGAAGGAAAGAATTCTCCTTCATGTCTTTTGCTGTCTTTACATCACAAAAAGCATGGCTCATATCAAAGCAGAAACCCCACTTTTCTCTCATCAGCCACCTGGTCTACTGCAGTGACACCAGGGAAGTAACTTATTGCCAGCCTTGCCGGAAAGGTTCAGCTCAGCAGCAGTTTTATCTCTGAAATCCTCTGAGCTAAAGAGATAGTTGGAACCAATGGACTGAGAGAGGAAGGAATCCACAGAAAAATCACCGCTCCAATAGACGGTGATTTCACCATCCAGATCTAAGTTTTTGTGAGTATTTACATTTTTGGGGGACTTGAATCCCTCTCTAGACTAAGAAAACTCCTCCTTTGCTAGCTTCTTATTATCTTTTGGTGGCTCACTGTGGGTATGTTGGGAGTATGTCTGAAGTTGACATCCAGGGACAGAATTAAATCCTGCTCACTTCACTTACACAAAGAACTCTTGAGACAGCAGCATATTCAATCCTGTCCACAGTAAAGCCACTGGTGCCACTTCCATGCAAAAATTATCCTGCCTACTCTGAGCAGACCAGAAAAGCAAATGTTTGTTTTATCAAAGAAATCAAGAAGGTGAATGAAAAATGGTAAGAGATGTAATTGTTATTTCACAGGTAGCTAATGTCACTGTGCAAGTTGGAATTTATGTCTGAAAATGCAACACAAAAAACCCCCACTGTTCATGCAGCAGGAACACTCCAATGAGCACCAACAGACACAATGAGGGATTTTAGATGACACTGTAATAATGTACTTCACAAAATATACATTCAGTTTTATGTTCAATTCACACATTTTGTAATGCTGATGTTTCTTAGTGACTGGGATATATACTAAATTCTGATTTCAACAGGCTACATGAAATCTGGCAGCTACATTTTACAGGGGCTCAAGCAAACATTTTCTTTGATTCCAGTTTTTTTTTTTAGGTTCTTCCCTCTTGGAGTCTGCTTTGAATTGCAAATTAAGTAAATTCAAACACACACACAAAAAATCTACAACTTAGCCTGAACCTCTGAGTTTCACCAGGGTTTGGGAGGGGAACCACATGCATCAGGTTAGTTTGAAAGAATTACATAAAATAATGACACTTTTGACCAGAACCAAGGATTGAATTTCAAAGGTGCAGTAATGCCCAAGGATTCTGTAGATTTAAGTCCTTGCTAACACTCAGCATGGCTTACTTTCAAGCTCTCCTTCCCACCTCCATATATGCCCCACCTGTTCTGTTAACGCTGACCTCGCTTCTTACATCCACTTTACACACATCAGTCTGTCTTTTATCTGGCTATTGCTCACCTTTTTAAGGCATAAATCCCACGTGCCTTAGAGACTGCCTAGTACTTCAGATAATGTGCATTTTTAACTTGTACTAGAAGCAGAAAAATCACAGGATCGGGTCTTTAGTCTTTACTTCAGCAGAGCTCCTGCTCACTTCACTCCTAATTTCACACAAGAGAAGCCTAAGAACTGCATGTACTAATCCTGCATATTTTGTCACCTCTCTTTTTGTGTCATTATTGCTCTTCCAATCTCTGGGATCCCAATCCAAGTGGCTCTCTTTTGTAGCACTGCCTAGCACTCAATCTGGCTTCCCATCAAGGGTCAGGCAGACAAGTTGTTAGAGATGGGCTGTTGGAAGTCTTCGACAAAATGTGGGCTCAAAAATCTCTGTGAAAGGCAATACTTAAAATATCTTCATTTTTCTCCATGTTTTTTGCTATGGCCTAGAAGATATCTCTCTTTCTTCCAGTGTGATGAGCATAAAGCACTGAGATCCTCAGCAGTTGTTAGGCACTTTTTAAGTACATAAAATCAACAAAGCTGATGGTACTTCTTAAGACACTGGTATTGCAACAGAGAGTGAAATACTCCAAATTTTGTAAAAGACTTAATTTGACTTTGGAAAAATTAGAAGAAAATGGTCTTTGACCATAAGAAGATTGGGCAAAAAGAGAGACAAGCAGGACAACAGAGGAATGGGATGTGTGACATTGGGTTAAGTAACTTCTCCCCTGTGTACCTGGGCTCTTCTATCCAGAAAAGGAAAGCATTGTATTTCTGTTCCACGGGGTACTGTGCTTAATTAAGATTTTGGAGGATAAATGTTCTGCATGAATGCATTCCAGAAATGCAGACTTTATTACTTAAATATTCCCACTAATGATAGTAACTTGGGCATTTTATATATGCTCACTTTTATTCCACCTTGCTCTTTCCAAGTTTTATCTGGTAATTTAGAGGGTGTGAGGAACATTATTTGTATCAGTGTTTTTATTAAGGAAGGTCCATTTTATGAGAGTAGTGATGTACTACAGATTGTGATTTAAGATGTACACTTTAGGCCACTTTTATACTGACTTCAGTGCAGTTGCAATGGGCATAAAGTCAGGAGAAAATGTGGTGCTTTACATAATAATGCTGCTGATTAATGGGCTCCTGGACCATAACTCTAAGTCTGAGTTATGGTCCAGATCCTCCTTCTCCCTCCTGAAATTTGTCTTGACCCTTTCATCTCTTGTTAGCTACCTTTCCAGGGCTGTTCATTAATCAGCACCATTGATCTGATGTGGTCTGTCATATTGTATTACCTAAAACACACAGAAGCAAGCCTTGGCCTGACTCTGCTCTTTACACAACACACCATCATATTTCCTTTACAGATGACTTAAATATTATAAACATCAACTTACTGCTGTTGCTTGGTCCTGAAACTGGCTTTTTCTAAATTAGTTCCCTGCAGGATATTTCTTTCTGTCCCTCTGGCTGTACTTCTGTCCGCTCAGAGACACCATCAAACACATTGAGTATTCCCTGCTTGTTAGGAGCACTCCTATGTCTGACCAGCAAGGGACAATCAGCAAAACAACTCATCTTTGCTTGAGATGTGGTACCACAATCTTCTGTTACTTTTTTTTTAGTGATTCCCAATCAAGCAGACTCAAGTTTTTAGTTAATTGCTATTTATTTTATTCTTGCAATAGTCTTTTCCCTGGTATCATCACAATGCTTCCTTCTGCCTTTCCTCGGATCCCTAGTAATGAAAAAATTAAAAGAGAAGCTTCTTGTGAGCTTATTTCTGATTACTCTTATTTACTGTGCTGGAACAGTGCTGTCTGTCATGAGGCAATGGAAAGTAAGTCACTAGTGCCTCGAAAGTTAGCATGTCTGATCTTAATGCACATATTGTACAGCTCTCTTGAGTCAGGTGGGTTGAGTTTTAACCTATGCTTTCACAGTCATGATATATTTTCAGACTGGGCTGTCTAGGCTAAATTCAATTCTTTTTGGTCACTTTTTCTCTCTGGGAGTAGCATTTTGGATTAAATTCTTAAAGCCACAACAAGAGGGAGGAGATGAAAACAGCAGTGTTAGCCATCAACAAACACGATTAAAGAATCAACTTTCTGCATAAAGTGGGTTATTCCAGATATATTTTAATGTTTATGGGAGAAAGTACATTGTCTGACTAGGTCTGACTAGGGCATTTACACTGTATGAACAAAGTTAGGTCATTGGCTACCTGTAGGTAGATATCCAACCCCGATGTCTTAGAGATCAACATAGACTGAGATATAAAAGCCACTGTTCCAGCAGAGGCCAGAACTTGAGCCAAAAAAACTGACAAAAATTTAGCAAAGCAGGACATGTTATGAGAAGGCCATAACCACGGGTTTTTCACAGTAGTCAAGGTTTTATTTCCAAGAGGAAATGGCTAATTTCTGTATTCTACTGGGAATGCTGTATGTCCACTATCAGTATGGCCTAAAAATCAGAAACTAATTTGTTAATGGATTAGACATTTACAGAAAGACTGTTTAAAGAGGCTGGACTGCTCTAGCCTGGTAAAGGCCAATTTCCCACAGGACATATTTGCAATAGCACTTGAGAAAAAAATCTCTCCCTGAAGTCCCAGAGGTACTTACTGAAATCCAGAATAGCAGGAAAGTCTACATTGTAGGAAAGTCTACATTATATTCCCACTTTTTCACTCACAGGCCCTCTATTACCTGTCTGCATCTGTTTCTTTTCCCCTTCTTTCAGGGCCTTTTATCTGATACTATAGAATTTCACTGCTCTTAAGCTGCAATTCTTAAGTTTGATTTTGGCACTTGGAATAGGCATTTTCGAGGTCTCACTTTTGTTCTGTTGATTCTTCTGATATTTCTTTCTATTTGCAAGCAGTACTCTCCATGTAACAGCTAACCATGCCTAAGAGTTCAGGTCGAAAAGGATGACTCTTCTCCTTCTGACTTTCCACTTCCCATGCCAAATCCCCTCCTACCTGGGGCAGTGGTACAAGGCCTCAGTCCAGAACATTCTCTCTCATTTAAGATCTAACTCTGAGTGCTGCCTATTTTCCACTAATGAATATCTCATCATGCTCAGTGTATTTGGTGTGTAAATTCCACACCTGCGGGTGGGCAGGTGCCCAAGCAGAACGTGTGCTGCTCTCTTGGCTGCTCCTCGCCGGGGCGGAGCAGAATAAAACCATGCTTGGCAATGTTAAGCAACTGTTTGGACTTTGCACACCTGATTTGAAATGAAGATATCTGCTAC